CATCGTGCTGAGACAGACCTGTAGATACACTGACTCTATTAAACAGACTGTCAGAGACATCATATATTTTAATCCCGACTTGAAGAAATTCAACAGTACCTATGTTATGTGTTTGATATAAGAATCACTTTGTATTTTACGTATGATTTTTCTTCAAAGATTTCAGCGTTCCACTGAAGTTTAAATTTTTTCTTACTTCATCAATTTTCTGTGTGCAGTGCTTACAGGTCCGTTGGTATCTGCATTTGTTTGATGGGTTTAACTCCAAAAGCAGCCTCATAAAGAGGGACAAAGATATGAAGACTCCCAGATGTGTTCACCCTTCTCACCATTCCCCAGCCAGTCCAGCCTCCTCTCACCCCCTCCCAACCTCTGTCTCATCCACTCCCAAGCCTTCTTCTAATACCTCACAGCAGAGGCACACAAGAAGATGACTTATAAATGTCAGTTGTTCCCCGGAATACATGAAACATGAAAATCTAGCAAAGGGAGTAGGTGGTAACGGCAGAAGTGACTGAGATGATCTCTATGCCCAGTGGATTCATATGCATGCCTACTGTTTGCATGCTTCTAACCCCCAGAGAAGCAGCAGGGAGAGGGAAGGAGGAAAGAGATGTGAGGATAAATGTAAGTGCAACAAAACTTTAGGGCCAGTCACCCTGTCTCTCTAGACTGACCAGCTCCTCTGCCTCCAATCCTAAGGGGGAGCCCAAGTCACAGATCTGCTGCAGTGGAAGAGGCATCCACCATTACTTAGGACAATCCTTTTGCGAACAGCCTGGGAGATGAGTTCCAAGAGGGGAAGGGGCTTGCTTTCCACCCAACAGCTGCAGAGTTGTAAGGTGAGGATGCACACCAGGCGGTCTAATTTCCTAGTTCAGTGTTCTTCTCACGACATTATTCTGAGGCAACTTCCTGAGTTATAAAAATGTTTTTTAGGATGAAAATTATTTTCATTGACTTTGGAGCTTTTACTGACTTTGGAAACACACTTGGCTTGAAACCAAGTAAAATCTTTGAGTTTAAAAAATAGTATTCCCATTTCTGTAAGACAGATAACCCAGGCCAATCACAGGAAACACATTTGGTACAAATATTAAGAACCACTAAATAAGTAGGAACATAAAATCAAAGCTCAAATGGAATTTTGGAGATAGGTCTTCCCTAACCATTCTGTTAGAGTTATTCCTCCCCAAACCTCCCCACCTCCCTCCCACTAGTTTATTTCTATCATGCTCCCTCTTTATTTCCTTTACAGAAGGCATCACTGTCATGCCTACGAATCTGTGTGCCTGTTTATGCCCCTGTTCCCCATGGGCTGTCAACCCTGTAAGGGCCAAGACTTTGTAGATCATTTTCACCTCCAAATCCCAGTCTTGCACATAATAAGCTCAATACATATTTGCTGAAGGAAAAATGAACGATGGCAGCCTGTAGTTCTCAAAGTTTCCATCCTTCAGCTCTATGTTCTCTATTTACCTTCTCTTTCCCACCTCACCCTCCGAAAAGAAAAAAAAAAAGCCTGTCTCTCAAGGCAAGTTTGTCATTTGAGACTGGTTAGTGGCATCAAACACAAGGAAAGAAGTTGGCTTTGACTTACTGGTGGCTCAGTTCTCGTATTTCGCACGGCTTGAAGCGCCATTCTCTGGCCAGCTTTTCTTGTTGGGATGCTTCTTCCAGAAACACTATCTTTAAAGAAAGAAAGAAAAGAATCACCAATTAATGAACCATAGTCATTGATTGTTACTAAATCTTAAAAGAGATTATGCCATAGCTGAATTTTAAAAGGTATTTGATAATAAATGGGATAGAGTTTATGGGCAAAAAGACAAGTATTCGCCTTTGCTTGCCCAAATAAGTAAATTGCATGAAATTTCCCCTTTTCTGCCATTCTATAGACACAACACTTCCAAAATTCTAATTTGAAGATTCAGGATATTAAAAATGGCTAATTGGTATCTATTTCTCCACCACCCCCCCCAAATAATTAAGGGAAACAACTGTTTATAGAAAGTGTACCTCACTGCAGATGAATGAAAGATTTTTGTTAGGATATTATAGGAAACCCAAGTCCAGAGCACAGAGCACATATATCATGGGGCATTTATTAACACTGAATATAGTTGCATGTAATTGCCTGACAGTGGAATCTTATCAAGAACTATGTTGATGTTCTGAAGCTAGACATCTGCTATAAAGAGGTATGCTGTATTTTTCTAGCATTGTGCATGAGACACTAACAGAATGATCTCTCACATGGGGCTTGTGAACCTGTAACAGGCGGGAAACCTTGGATGGGTCCCAGTCCCTCTTGTTCTGGTCTCCCCATCTGCAAACTGGGACTAACATCAGTATATACTTCACAGAGCTACTGTGAAGACTAAATATGATTATTTCAATGAAGAAGTTAACACATCCCTGGAACATGCTAAATGCCAGATATATCTATTGTTGATTCTTTTTTAAATAAAGTGTGATTGCTTTCTCTATAAAAATGGATTGAAAAGCAAGAAAGGACAAGGAAAAATGAAAGACATATACAGGAAATAGCCTGTTTCATTTTTAAATGCAATATTGTGAAAATAAATGTTTCATGGAAAATAAAATATTGAAATATGGTATATAAAATGTACTAACAAATTAGAAGCAAAGCAATATACTCTGGAAAAAATTGTGGAACAGAAAATAAATACTAACTCGACTCACTGATGATATCCTTTTTTTTAAAAAAAAGGTAGGGATTTCTATCAGAAAAGAAAATTAAAATGTAATTCCTACAAATATGGACAAGTAATTTGATGATTCTAAAAATATATTAAATCAGTCAATGTCAAAGCAGAATAAAAAATTAATTAAAAAAAATCACAAGAACAGAATTTATCAATATACCCCAGAGCTGATTTACCATTAAAGGCAAAAGAAAAGAAAGGAAAGGAAGGAAATATTGGTAAAGTACTACACTCATATATTTGAAAGTACATTTGAAATAAATGCTTCTGAGGAAAATATGAACAATCAAAATTTATCCTGGAGAGATAGAAAAACTGCATGAACTAGCAACTCTAGAAGAAACTGAGGAAGTCTTACTAACCTTTCAGGAAGGGTCATGGTTCAGAACCATGCTGTCTAATAGAAATGTAATGCCTGTCACAAATGCAAACCACATTTATAATTTTAAAATTCCTAACAGCCACGTTAAAAGTGTAAAAAGGTACAAGTAAAATAAATTTTAATAACATATTTTATTTAACAAGATAGTGGCCATGAGAAAAAATTATCATGTCAACATGAAATCAGTATAAAAGTTATTCATTTTAATTTTTTGTTGGTACTTAGTCTTTAAAATCCAGGGTGTATTTTGCATTTAAAGTACATTTCAATCTGATTGAGAAATTTTCATTAGAAATACTTCATCTGTATATTTAGACTTTATATATTCTACCAAAAAAGTGGGCTCAGAAACCCTGGTTATCCTCAAAATACTAAAACACTGGGAATCGATTTTTAAATGAGAAATTGAATTTAAAATAAAAATAAGAAATTGAAAATTTAAATTCAGTTCCTCACACATATTAGCTACATTCCAGGTGCTTATTAGACCTTATTAGTGCATATTCAGAGAATTTTACAGCAAAGTTCTTCCCAGCTTACAAAGAACAGACAATGCCTGTTAAGAGCTCCAGCGCATGGAAAACAATGGACACCTCTCTATTTCCACAGAGCTACCACAATTCTCATACCAAAAGCTGACAAAGAACACACATATATAAAAATGCAGATATACAGAGAATGAAAATTATAAGCCAATGCCTTTTGTTATTTAATTATTAAAGAACTAATTAATGATAAATATAGATGCAAAAATAATCCCAGTGATATACTGGCAATAAAAAGCAAAAATACGTTAAAACAGTAATTCAGCATGTCTGTAGCATGTAAGCCTCAATTATTTCAACCAAGCAAGATGTATCTTCAATGAACTTATAGCTGATGTTGAGTAGTTAGGCAAGGGCCCATACTCCTCAGAGATGGCTGGAATACATCTACCCTACCCTCTTTTCTGTTTTCTTCAGTCAACATGAAAACTGGAAATCACCTGCTCCTCAAATACACAGCAGGGAACTTGACCTGCACCATTATCTTCACAAAGCTCTACCTCCTTGTCCCCAGCCTGCTTCCGCCCCTCTCCACTTCACTGTGACCTCTTACTGTCCATCCACTAACAGCAAACCCCCCTATGTCTTTAATATCTGCTCTGAGTTTTCCCCTCCTGACCACTGGGAGGAACTGGGAAGGAGGGAACTGTCCTTCCCCAAGGACACAGCCTTCTCTACACTTCTCAGATGGCAAGTATTCATACATTAGGGTCAGGCAATGAGGTTCCATATGCACCACAGCCATTTGAAAACCATTTTTCCTGCAGCTTCTTGTAAGCATAACAAAACTCCTTTTAAGACCTGCTCCTTTCAGCTTTCAAGGCGTCCTTTCCCTCTCTTTGTTGTTCTCCTTTACCAAGCTTTCCCTCATTGTTCAAATCTTGATACCTGCCCCATACTCCTCCCCACTGCAAGTCCTGCGTTTATTCCCAGGCACGACAACATGGACAGCCCTCTTGAGATCACAGCACCTATTTCCATGAACTCACCTTCAGTGATCTGTTGATGAACAAGTGAAGTTTATGAACTTCACATCGTGACCACACCTTGGACATGTGCATGACCCATAACTGCTCTACCTCTAAAACCACGGACCCACACAACTGACCACCATTTATTTCCTCTTTCCTGTTTGCCACTTCAGCTATTCCAATCAACCATCCACCTTCAAAAGCCCTCCCTTCACTTCTTCCTCTCTACTTTCCCCCAGTCTATCAACTGTCTTTTTTCACCATTTTCCTTGTCCAGCTTAAACTCACCAGCTATTATTTCCTATTTCTTACATCTTTTAGTTAACATACATGTGGTAAACTTTCAACACGGACTGAACCCAGCCCTGCTTCTCTGGGCTGCACCTGAGGAACCAAGCAGCATTGCAGGAAACACATCGCATGGTAAATAGAATATCCATGATCATCAGGCTTAAAGGGGCTCCAACCAACGTCTGTGCCTGGCGTCCGAAGACATTTTTCCAGCACTGTCTTCACTGTCAATAAAACTGACAGGAGACCTAATTGCTTATCCACTGATCATTAGAAATATTTTTTAGAATACATTAATATATAATTTGTATGAAATAACTCAAAAGGAGTTCAAAGAACTGAGGGATATTGCTATAATAAAACTCCACCATTCCCATCTACTTGATTTATGTGAGTATGTTTCTCAATATGTACATCTATAAAAATGAAAAATGAGAAAAAATTAATGCTGCTCCTATTTAATTCTACCAAAAAATAATACTCATCCATAGATTTACTACCAAGTTGGAAGAAACAAATATCCTTTTTTTATTTTACATCTAACAAATAACTTTTCAAAATGTGTAATACACATTTAAAATTTTTCTATGGTCCTACGAAATTTTAAATATTTAAATTTATGCACACAAGTTTTATTGCAATGGTTGAGCAATAAAAAACTTTCAAGTGTAAAACTATATTGTATTTGCACAAATTCTGTAAGGAAAGGAGAATAGAATTAGTAATTCTAGGAGAAAAAGGGGCTATGTAGCATTTCAAATCATTAATAAGGAGCTAGTTCATGATTTTTTAAAAATAGATTAAGGTATATATCAAACCACTATGTTTTGTTTCCAAGACACATTTTAAAAAGTAATGGCACAGCTTAATTTTAACTCACATGTGTTTACAATTTGCCAGAAATTATAAGCTTCATACATTTTTTTAATTTAATAGAAACTACAAAGATCTTTTTAAAATGCAAAAGCATACAGAATTTTTCAAAATTCTTTTAGGGGGCACATTAGTTTAAAAACGTGAAGAGTATTTCTGTTGTCAGCTCTCCACCATCATGATTTAAAATCTACCCACTTACGCCAAAAATGTACATCAAATTAGTTCAATGGTGAAAAGTTGCAAACAATCTCAAAGTCAATCAAACAAGGAATTGGTTAAATATGACTAAACACTGCAGCAATGAAAGGTATCAGTGAAGACTTACATTTACTGAATTATCCTTGACATAATCTTAAGATTTTTCTAAAATACAGGTTACTGCATAAAATGTACAGTATCAAATTTTTTATAAGAATATGGGATACGTGTGTGTGCGTTGGGCTGGGTTAGGCTGGGTTGAGTTGGCATGTCTAAATGTTGACAGTGGTTATCATCTCTTTATAGTAGAACTTGGGAGTAATTTTTGCTTTCGTCTTTATAGCTTTTTGGATTCCAGATTGTTAATAGTAAATGTTCTATTCTATCTAAAACGAAGTCAGTTCCATTTAAAATGCATATGAAAATGTAACATAAAAAAGATAGAAATAGATAAATATAATCTGTAATTATAGAGCCTCTTATGGGGGAGTTAGGACACACAGATATAGATATGAATCAGATAGGGGAGGGCATAATGGCAGTGCCATGGACCTCACCACTTCAGAAAGAGTGGTTCAGTGGGTGTGGTCAGTGAAGGTTTCAAAGAAAAAGCAGAACTCCTACAATGATGGGTAGGACGTGGGACTTGGTAAGTAAACGGGGCTGGAGGGAAAGGTATGGAAGGGTAAATAATGACA